TGTAGAAGTTGGGGTGCTTCCGAAACATGTAGCCACTCACACCAATGCAGCCACGCATTTTATTTATCCTCTTCAAAATCGTCACCAATGCTGTGAGAGATAAAACAATGTTCATTTTTTCAATTTTAAGCCTTATTTTAGAAGACAATGTACTCAGCTGCTAATCTTTCTTAAGTCTCAATCAGCTTAACCCATTGAACCCTTTGACATCAGTACATGCAAAGCCTATTTGAAATAAACTCGAACAAATCAGGAGAAATGGTTGTCTTGATCCAGCCTACTCAAGGATTCGTGTAATATTTTAAAGCTAAGCTCGATTAGAAGTACCATTTTTTATATTAGTGGGTCAGCCTCCAATTGACAAGAAATTGGCATTGAGTAGCTTCTTACTGAAAAAAAATTCCATGATATTTTCAGTTTCACTTTTCAAATTCTATCTTTATAGTATGTGCGCCCTATTAAATCACATTTATTATAAATTTAAGGGTCACATTAGACAAACTTACAATTTCGGCAAGAGATTGGTATCTGTAAAATACTGTAACGCCCCGACCTTGCCCCACTGGAATCTAACGTCCTATTAATAGACTAAGAGTTTTTGCCTTCAACTTCAGCCATTACACATGGTGGAATGTTCGAATTTATTTTTCTCACACTTTCACCTTGATTTTTAAGTGATCCTGAATAAATCACCATGCCATCCCAATAGGAGCTTAAGAAAGTTCTTCAAGGTACAATCCATGTTATTACCCCATTAATTGCATGTGAATGTAATTAAATCTCCTAAATAACCCCCTTGGCCTGTTAAAGCACTTTTACACTTTAAAAGCTTATAAATTATTCCAAGAAAAGTTTGCAGCTTTATTCCCTTATAGAAAACAATTACCTTATAAAGACATTTATGTTAGATGCGGCTAACTCGACTCCAGCAATATTTGCTAGTCAAGTTGTCCAATCACAGTCACAAATCCCAGATTCTATACTCAAGGGTCAATGACGTAACTGGCTGAATAATTGGTGCGAGAAGTTTGTAATAGAAAAACACGAGAGACTGTAGGAGACGATTTCTATGTACAAAATGAGCGCTTAAAAGAAATTCAGTTTTAGAAAATTTGAGTCTACTTTAGCTGAGCTTTGCCAAACACTGCTCAGGATTGAGAGATTCAGATTCAAGCATAAGTGATACTTTATAGATCAATATCAATGTAAATGAGAAAAAGTCAGAGGAAGAAAATGGGAGATGAACACGAGTCCTAAGATCGACGTGTGTGTGAAACAGAGCGAACTAAAATGTCAACTTAGAGAGGGAGACGAGGCTGTCGTTTTGACATTTGGTCAATGCAGCACTTGTACTTAGTGGGAAAGCGGAAAGATCAACTCTCGAATCTTGGTTCACATTGACATGGTTTTAGTAAATAACTCTGACTATTAATACTGTTGGTAATCTCATTCATGGCTGATTAGTGAACTCATGATCTCTCTCGTTTGACAGGTGTATGCCTTCACCTCAACTAACACCGACAACAGGGCTCACAGTCCTCTCCAACTGATCAAATCAAAAGCTAAGTACCGATCAAATTCAGCATACACCAACAAGTCCTCGTTTATAACCAATTGTGATATTCATACGTATTTAATTTTAGGCATTTTTGAAGCAAAAATAGGTAGTCAGTATTGAAGAAAATAGGTCGTTTGACTTAATATAGGATTCAATGTTTCTCGCCAGCAAAATTTACAGCAACTTTGTCCAACAAAATAATCCTTAATCTTAACTAAACTTAATGAAAATTAAAAATAACAGAAAATATTTCACTATTTGTATAGCTAGTGAATTGCATATTCTAAATTCATAATAAAAGTGTGGTTAATCTGTCAATTCCAGTAAAACAACTTCGTGAATATTCCTAATGCATGTATTGTATAAATATATTATCTAATGAATCCGTTCATCTAGGCTTTACTCTTCATATTTTGTTTATATCTAAACACCTAGTCAACTCGTATGAGAGCATAAACATAAGATTTACGCAACTATTCCTTGTGCGCATTTTAAATCAGCGTGTTTACATGTTGAAATAGTTTGGAGATATTATTCAGTAAACTAATTTTTGATGAATTTTCAAAGTGTTGCTTTAATCATGCTTTGTCATTGGGGTGTGATGCATGTTGTTTTAACAAACGGTCACGTATTCGTTTGACAAGAAAAATGACTCTGGTTTCAAATCTTCTCACTTGGGGTCTACCTTTGTTACTTTTTGGCCACATGGGAACTCTAAACGAGAAATTCTCAATTATAGGGATAATTTGTATATACGTTGTGATACTTTATTCCTCAAATCGTCGTTTCTGATTTTTCTTATGACTTAGGGGTAATAGTTTTTTCATGTTCCACAAAAGAGCATTCGGAACGCCATAATTCAAATGGCTAGGTAAACTGTCTGAAGACTTTATGTGAGTTTAAGTTTTCTACATCCAAACCTCACCCATCGATGGCGCCACGCATATAATTGAGTACTTGAGTCGTTTTGCTGTATTTCTATATTAATATATCCAGACATCTGTAGTTACCACATCTATTCCCACAATCTTCCCCACTCTTCTGAACTATATCTTCATATTCAAAAGAGATCTTCAACCAGTGGCCCCTTTTCTTCATTTGTTTCGTGTTGGAGATTATAGGAAGCTTGATATCTAACAGTCATCATTATTTTAGAAGCAAGTTAATCGTGTCGAATAGATATATATATATATATTGCTATCTCTATTTCTGTTGCTGCTATCGCTAAGAGAATAGGAATGAGACAGGATTTAGCTTAAATACCTTAGCAAAAAGAGAACAAGGAAACGTCTGTCTTAGCTTGTTAGCAAGAAATGGTACGCTAAAGTGTTGGAAATTTGAAAAAAAAAAAGATTTCCAAATGCACAAGTAATGAAGGGATAGGAACAGAGATACATCCAATGCTAGATAACTGCAAACGAAAGAACCTTTTGACGCCTATACAACATTGGCAAAAATAAGCTGACTTTCTAGAAAAGCAAAATTATAAAGGAGATTTTGAATGGTTTAATAATTCATCGGCGAAATAATTATTCCATCCAAGAAAGATGTTGGTTAAACTGGTCCTTGATGCTTACTCCACTATTACCTATTATTGACGAGCATACTCAACGTTTTAAGAGAGTAATTTAAGTTATCCTATAAATAAACCCAAGGAATTGGACTAGAACATATCTTTTTAAATAATGAAAATAGATAACACGATGTTTTGCTTTATATTCAATGCAAGAATGTAAATGCGCCCGATTTCAAAAATAAAGCTTAATTTGTATCGCACAAAAGTGAATGCAAAAGTTTAGGATTCAGTAAAACCTTCGAATAATTCCATCGAGATTGAATAATGTACTTGTAATGCTTGCATACTTTAGGCAGTAATTGCTAGTGATGGCATTAATAAGATTCAATGTGGTTGCATACTTGGCTAACCTTTGCGTGGAATGCCAATCACCATTAAAGAAGCATATTGGACAGATGTAACGTCTCAGTGTAGATGTACATAAAAATAATGCGAGTTCCAATAAATTACTAAGACAAAGTACATTGGAAAGGATGGGTCAAGTGAGTTTTAATAAATGAAATTCGCGGTGTTATAGTGTTCTAGTGGATATTATTAACTTGATTAATGACTCTAATCTTCAGATACAACAATTTCCAAGGGAATAAGTAGTTAATCTTTTCTCTTTTCTAGGAGAAAATGACGAAAAGGTGCTACAGACTGGCGAAATCGTCAAATGACAATTTTCGGCTTTTAGCGCTTAGAAATTCTCCATTCTGGGGCCATTTCTTAAGTATTTCTCACTCATTAGGCACTATTAACTGCCTCATGAACACATATATGAATGTTCCAGCCATAAATTTGTGCAATAAAATGGGATTGACTTCTCATCTACAACCATATTGTCCGCCCAATGCCGATGAAGTGATTTTACAGTGGCTGGTTCATAGCATAACCCTTTAAATCAAAGCCTTCAAAAAGTAAGTTTTAAGAACGAGTGTTGGTGAAACCTGATATGTTTAAGGTGTCTTTGTTAATTGTTTCTATCAGTTCATGACTATAAAAAAGTACAAATTAATCAAAGTGGTAGGCTAACCGTTCACTTAAATCACCTAATAAACATGCCCTAAATATTGAAAACATGAAAATTGAAGTATTGAAACTTGGACATTTCAAATTGAATTAAACTTTCCAATTAAAAAGTGAACAGCTCAATACCTCCGGAATTCAAATAATTCTAGACTCCTGACAGCCAAAAAAACTTATCACTTAATCCTTTTCGATTCCACACCACCTCCCCCGGCTTCATCCATTTCTGGACACTTTTGCTATTTCCTTGTGTCGGATACTACCACGTGATTACAACTCATATGAGTTTGTTCTCAATGTCCTGCGTTATATTATACGCAAATCTTTGGGTTCGGAGAAACCTTGCAGGGTTGTATTGATGTCTGATTATTATGCGTGAATTGACAGTTTGAATGAATAAACGATACATGTTAATGGGTTTATTGCATCAAAAATATAGGAAGGAGATAAAACTATCTCAGTTATGAACGCGTTTGAAATTAGAAAGTGAAATCTCAAAGTGCTTACATTCTTTATTAGGAGTTGCGAGCAATCAACGCTATGAGAAAATTTGACCATATAATAGGGAAATAAATCCTCATAAATCGGAACAAATGCGTTTCTTCAAATTTATCTTTACTGAAATAAATAGGAAGGTTTAAAGGGCAAACTTGATGAAGAATTCGATAATAAATTGAAAATTTCATGTTCTTCATTCGGTTATCGGTTGCTAAGTCCAGTATCAAAAACACCTCACAACTCACTTCTATAAACTTATTTATTTATTTCAAATGGCAGGCTTTATGATATTTATCATTAGCCCTTAATCTTTGGCTTCAGTTTCCCCAAGAAGGGGGGGGGTACATTTATAGCAGTTAATTAATAGCAGTTCATTAGCAGTCTTCTTGCTTCCCAGTATCTTTGGCTTTCCGTACTTGTCTTTAGGGCTGGACACCGAATCAGGTGGGTCTTCTCCATTTCCTCATGTAGGATACATAGAGGGCATGTGGGTTGAGTGTATAATCCCAATCTGTGAAGGTGTTTTGCCAAGCAATCGTGTCCGGTACGTAGTCTAAACTCAGCAACGGCTTCGATTCTTGGCCAGTCGGGTGTGTCGGAGAGTGCCACTGTCCACTGTTTCTCCTTTGTTCGAGCTTTAAGTTCGTTGCACCTTGAGGTCTGGAATTCTCTCCTGATTAAGGCCTTCATTGCGTGGAAAGACATCGGCCGATCCATGCATTGCAAAATCGTTGTCCCCTTCTTAGCAAGTGTGTCAACTACATCAATGTCTGCTAATGGGTTCATGGGGGGAGAGAGGCTTTTTGGTTTGTCATCGATTTGTAATGCTTTCTTCAGTTCTATGGCTTTCTGTATTAGACCAGATTGCGTTTTCAGATGTCTTGGTCCATTCTCATAGGTGCTGAAGAACTTGTCCATGGGAATGCGCAGTAGCTTCTCATACAGGATCAAGGCCTTTTCTTTGATAAGGGAACCTATTGTGATGCTTCCTGTAACTAGGAACATTGCATCAATGGGTGTTGATTTTATCCCTCCAGTAATTAGTCGTAATGCTTGGTTGTGTGCCTTCTCGAGTGGTTTGAGAGTCACCTCTGTGGCTGTAATGAGTGGCTCACAGAAATACAACATTATTGGCTGAATAAACATCTTGTAAGTGGTGTTNGGACAGCTGATTGTCGTCTCCAGGCTTTTACGTCTTCCGTTCTTCCAGTCTGATCAGCAGTGTTGCGAAGGGCGTCCCTCTTTCTTTTCAGTTCCTCAAGGTGTTTAGACCAAAACACTCGATAGTGTTTAGTCTTGCCTCAGGGAATAGTTTTCTTTGCACATCTGATCATAATATTCGTGATATCAGTGCAAAGTTTGTCAGGATGTTGGTTGAAGTTGAGGGGACTTGTGTGAAGTTCATTCTCCAAAAGGTTTGTGAATCTAGGCCAGTCAGCCTTCTTGAAGTTCCATGATAGCCTAGTTGGCAATTTCCTTGACATGCTTTTACTGCCGATGGTAAAACTAGCAATGACTGGTTTGTGACCAGAACCAGGATCTTCAATTATTTTGCGGTGTGTATGCTCACTGATATCGCTTGAAGCCAAGAGTAAATCAGGAGTTGTTCTGGTTCCATTGTAGTGCAAATATGTAGCCGGATCCTCATTGCTGTAAATAAGTTCCAGAATGTTACTGTTTAGCATGTCTTCAATTTCCTTTCCAGGTATGTTTGTATCCTTGTAGCCCCATCTGGTGGAGTGGGCGTTGAAGTCTCCTAGTACTATGGTTTTGTGTGAGATGTTCAGAATGTCAAAGTTGGGACAATTCTGGGGTGGATTATAGACTGCATATATCTTGAAGTGGTTTTGACATTTCCAAACATTTAATCTGATTATTTCACATTTTTCTTGTGTCGAGCCCATACTCTTGATTAGATCGTAGTGTGAGGTGAGGCCATCTTTAACTCCAGTTAGAATTCCACTTGCAACTTGCCGGTATTTAGGTAGATTGTACAGGGTGTAACATGGGAATTGGTAGTACTTCAGTTTGTCATCCAAAATGTTAGCTTCCATAATTGTGAAAGTGTCTACATCATAGGTTTGTAGGATTTTCTGTACTTGGATCTTTTTGTCCGGAGACATTCCTCCAGCATTCCACTGGAGGATCTAAAGATGTCGTGATTCGCCCTGACGAGGGCGATTTTTCTTATAGCCTTGTTTAAAGCTAATCATAATAAATTGAAGTCTAAAACGAATGCCGAGTGATAGACTTTTTTGCAGTAAGAAAATACGTTGTCCAGGGTGCACCACGTGGAGGTAAGTCTATCGCGCACCCCACTTCTATAAACTTAACGCATGTAAATTTATTTTATTAAGTTTATTATTTTTCAGCCAGTTTTATTTCTGCTTCGGTAACCCAATCTCGAGCTAAGTATAAGTTTGACTTATATCACAAATTGGCTGGAAATTTCAGTGTGCCACCTCAGATTACTCTCGTGCTATCACCAGTAACTATTCACAATACCGAGAATAAGTGAACTTTATGACTGAAGACTCCCGAGGAATACATCTTGAAAAGCTTATAATTTATCGCTGGGAAATGTATTTTTTTACTTCTAACTGGAATGTCTTTAATATCAATCTCCTAACCGGAAGCCTGGAGTAGCTAATAAGTTTCTTTGTGACGTAGATAAACGTCCTAATGAAGAAAAAATGAGAGGAGACATAAGAAATTGAAAGTATAGTTCATCATTATTATAGCGAAACTGCTTTTATGAAATTGCTTCACGCAATAGAAGCCATTAATTTTGCTGGGACTACCATACATATCCAATTGTATGTACACAACGTTATTTTCATAATAAAAAAAACGATTAAGCTTCAGATCTCACCCCTATTCCCTGTAGTTTTAGATGTTGTGGCTACATAAATTGGTAATGGTGATGTTATACATGTTAGTAGTATAAATTTTATCATTCAGAAGAGCGAATGCATTACTTATAGGTAGGAAAATAAGGTGCTATAAGTATAGTTTGGATTTAATTTTGTTTACCATTCATTTCATTTCTAGGCTCAATTGCTTGTAACCTTCAAAATAGAATGGAAGCACATCTGAACTCCCTAATAGATAGACTAATTTCAGGATGTGCTGAGGGTGAATTTCAAAACTCATCTTTCAATAACAAATATATGGAGTGTATTTTTATACTGAAACTCGTATTTAACTACCACTCAGTTAAATTTCAAGTGAGTCTAAAAAATAGACATTTTCAAAGTCCATTAGGAGAAGTGTTCACGGCACTTGACATAGGAAAGGGGGGAGTTTGATCACTCAAGTCACTGAAGGCCAATGAGATCGTAACCCTTGATTTGTCAGATAAGTACGGTGGCACTGGCGTTAAATTAGATTAAAGTAAAGGAAAAAATGACAAATTGTGAAGCTTTTTGAATCATAAACCATATTTAGTCATTGCTTATTAAAACACCAACTTTATCTAGACCTCAAATAATTAATAACCAATGTTACAGTTTCGTGATGTGCATACTGCACTGTAGACCGCTTTTGCACTTAGATCGACCATAAATTTCAACTTTTACTTCCATCCTTCTACAATGTCTAACAAAGCTCCCCTTTTGGACAAGTTTAGAAAAGGCTCAGTTCGAATAGGGGGTACCGCTCTTACATTATGCAAATGCCTTTAGTACTAAAATGTTGACCATCTTCAACAAACAACCTTGAACCAAAGTCTCTAGGAAATCCCACCCTTGACAATAATATGGTTTAGGGTCCGCCAAATCTTTATGAGGAGACCTTATGAACGTTCGATTAAGTAAGACTAAGATTGTCACTTGCAGTCAAGGACAATTTTAAATACAGGTAATAGACAACCACATCTCCAGAATCTGCATTCCTTAGGCTGAGAGTAGAACAGTGATGAAAATTAGAGAAAAAGAAAAGAAAGAACAACTGAAATAGAAGCGTGCTAATCATGCATCTGTTTATAAAGTCAGTGATGCGGACAACAGAATCAACTAAACTGATTTTCATAAGGCAGAAATAAATTCTAGTTAAAAAACAAAATGTAGTTGTCTTTCGAGCGCAGAGGAGCGAGATCCGCTGATGGCAAACATTCATATGTAAAATTTATTTATATCAAACGGCAGGCGTTTTGATAATTATTATCAGCCCTTTAGTTGACTTCAGGCTTCATAGAGGGGAAGGAATATCAAAGAGAAAAAAGTCGAGTTGGGAGGGGGGACAGAAGAGTGTTTCAAAGATGTAAAAGAACCAGACACACAGGTCGAGAGTAAGGTAAGGCGAGTACTGTGGAAGTGGTGGAATATGACATACAATGGGGTGATGGTAGTTTAAAGTGAGAAGTCAACTGCCGGTTAAGAGACTTGTTTACCGTATGAGTATATGTTGCCCAGGATGTACCACGTGGAGGTAAGTCTGTCGCACATCCCTCATATATAAAATATAAACTTTAAAAGCAATCGTATTTTTATGATATGACCCCAAAAAATTTCAGAGACACTTGGGAAGAAGTTCTAAACCATGGATAAATTCATGATTTCCAAGTAATCTTAATGCTGTTCAACTTACCCCAGAAGTTAAATAAGCAATGGAGGTCGACTCATGTAGACTTTTAAAGGGATAAATATAAAAATGGCGAATAAATAAATAAATACGCTAAATCGGCAAATACGTACCGGAAGCACAAATGCATGCAGCCCGAAAAACAACAGCTTTACAGACATATCGAACAATACAGACGTCTTCCGCTGTAAGAATTTTGACATCGTAATGCTCTTTGAGTAGAAATTCCGTAGTATAGAACAAATATGGTGGGTCACGTTCTATAATACATAGGAAACTCGGATGGAGACTTTTATAGTCTTGCAGCTTATCTGGCCAAACTCCACCGAAGATTTGACCTCTGTTACTGAGTTCGCAAAGGATTTGTCGCACAACTTCAGCTTGATATAGTCCGCCAACCAACTTCTCGAATCTGTAGAGCGAGAAAAAAGAAGATATTATCTGCAAAAATTTTGGTAGAATAGAACCAAATAGTGTAAAGCATTCATTAACATAAAACTACGGATAGGGTGGACGTGAATGAAGGAGAACATTCAGCGGCGCAAAATATAATGGTAATTCCATGGTCAATTACTTCACACACTTACTATTTATCCGACAAGAGGTTTCTAAGCTGATGGGTTTAAGTATAACAATTAACTTTACAAAATAATCGAATTTGAAGGTATTAGCCTTGTTAGGGTTGTCTATACGAGCTGTTTGAACATTGAAGACCGAATGATTAGGCACATTTTATTCAATCGTCGTATTTTGATTTACCGTCAGGATTTCAAAACAGAATATCCCCACATATCATTTAATTTATGAGAGATCAAGGGAATTTTTACGGATTTTTTTCAATTCGAGATATAGTATAGACTCTGTTGGACTGAGTTGTATTAAACGACGTCCAAGTAGTGTCCTGAACAAGAAACTACCTGTTTGAGACATTTGAAAGCGATGCACAAATCCAAATTCATGTAACCGAAGAACGAAAAGTCTATTTAAATTTACGAAATATTTAGATTTAACGTTGCCAGAAGTGTTTCTCCAAAAAAAATTAGTTTAAGTTGACTGTAAGGACGTTTTAAATTTTGGATTGCAAACATAAGGCAATCTAAAAACTTACGATTAAAGAAAACTAAATATTTATTTGATTTAGACCGAAAGTCACTAAAAGAGGTGTGGCGAAGGAATCTCATGGGCGCTCGAACATTCCAGAGGGAGCGTCATCCATACAGGGGTCTTCTGAGATAATCAGCTGGTGCGCATAATTTGCCCCCAACGCCATACTCCCTATACACACTACTTCTCTGATGTTGTCGAGATAACTTAACTGATATAGAGAGCAAGTTAATGGGAAAGGATTTTGACAGAAAGGTTCGTTTAGATTTACCAAAGGCCTATTTTTGTAGCCATGCGCTACACAGGTGGTTTGCATTATTTTCCTTTCAAAAAGTTTGCAATATTTTCTTTGAATAACCGTGCATTAAGAAATTAAGCAAGAATAATAAAAATAATATTTGGAATCAAAAGTTCACAGCTCTTTCTTTCAATCCCACTTTGGAAACATTAGCCCCACAACTACCTTGCCCATAAATAAGCGGAGATAGGTAAATATCCTTTTGATTTTCCATTTTCATCCTTTGTTCTAAATTCAAGATATCTAATGCACTTTCTGCTATTACTTAAAGCTCGGATATATTCCATATGAAACGAGAAATATTTTGCATTATCTCTTCAAAAGATATCTGGATTGAAAGTGGGCATGACTTTGCTTTATTACCACGCTTATCAACTTGCAAGTCTTGGTGGAAAAATTTCCAAAGAATGTGCGATTCCCGCATGTTACTGGTCTATTAAAATTGGGCACTAAAAATAGCTTTCCGTTAAGTACCTTGGGGTATATGGAATTATTTTTTGTAAAAACTTTAGTGGCAAAATCATACTGACTAAAATTGCAAAACCAAAAGTTATTTTACTTTTTACCCTAATTGTGGTCATGAACTATAGGCAAGCGCATAAAATGTCGTGAATCTAAACTATTTTCTGTAAATTGTTGGTATTTAGCCATTTTTGCACGTGAACTAAATATGGATAGCACTTATTTTAGCATTCCATTCACGACGCCTAAAAATGCTGCGTTGGATAATGGCATATGTGCAAAATGATTCACTGTTTCTAAAAATAACATTATGTACGGACAAACAGGCAGGCCCACACAGAATTCAAAAGTAATGTTTATGTAAAGTAGGCGCAAGAAAGTAATTTAATATGTATTTACACTAGCCGTCCAGGCATCTCGGAGATGGGATCAAGCCGCCTGTCGAATAAGGTTAGGAAGCGACTCAATGCTCCGCTCTCCCCAAATCCGGCCAACTCTGTGTTAATAAGAACAGTTTTAGCTCCCATTTCGAAGACATCATCACGATGAATATTGCTGATTTTCTCCTCATAGACAGCATTCACTCCGCTATCTGAAATTTGTATGAGATATTAATACCCAAATTTCTTTTGCTCAATTGCTTATATTCTACTTTATATTTATAATTTGGGGTGTGCGATAGACTTACCTCCACGTGGTGCTCCTTGGGCAACGTATACTCATAGGGCAAAAAAGTCTCTTAACTGGCAGTTGACTTCTCGCTTCAAACTGCCATGACCCGGTTGTATGTCATATTCGACTACTTCCACAGTACTCACCTCATTGTATGTCATATTCGACTACTTTCACAGTACTCACCTCAACCGTATGTCATATTCGACCCCTTCCACAGTACTCATCTTACCTCGACTATTTGTCATATTTGACCCCTTTCACAGTACTCATCTTACCTTGTCATATTCGACTACTTTCACAGTACTCACCTCACCTTCTGTAACACTCTGCCTTTGTGTCTCTCTCTTTTACATCTATGAAACACTCTTCTGTTCCCCCCCCTGCCTTTGTGCCTGTCTCTTTTACATCTTTGAATCACTCCCTGCCTTATGTCTGTCTGTCTCTTTCACATCCGTGAATCATTATTCTGTCCCCC